ATGACAATCTGGTGAGTAGCCTCTGTGACCCCCCCTTTGAAAAATCCTGGCTACGCCCCTGTGCTAATCATCGCACCAATGGGTTAAACGAATAATGCCTAAATGCATTAAAATAAAATCGCTATGTAACAAAGCCGCAGACATGTAACAAAGCAGCGAGCGATTTCCTCTTTACCCAGCATTAATAGCAAACAAATTGGATCTAAGCCCGATAAGATATATCAATGTTTGTGACGCAACAAAGAAGGAAAAAGGCCAAACAGGCTACCGCCTAATTGAGGGTCTCGATGGGGTGACGGTTTTTACGGCTAATGGTTTAATATTTTTGGCCATTTCATGGCTAACGGTTAGCTTCCTTCCTTGGTTATCAAAAAAGAAAACTTTATGACCAATTTATTTTACAGCCAAAGATTAAAATTTATCCGCAGCTCTTGGGCCTAGCAGCTAAATTGTTTGGCCTTTTATTCGGCCAATGGATTAGGGAGCTTTAGCAACGACGACGGCGACTGCAACGAAAACGTCGTGTCGAAATCTAACTTTTCGTTTTTGTAACTCTTTCGAGATTATTCCGATGTGTTTCACTTGGAAATTGCTGGCGAACTATTCAGAGACTATATCACTACGAACGCCGTTAAAGTAAGGAAAAAGAAAGAAAAATTAACCGTCATGCGCTCACGTTTTCGAGAAAACCTAAAATTTGGTTATTCACGTTGTTGTTTTGCCGAGAACGGCAAAGAAATGTACCAAAATGTTAAACGCACATGCAGGGCGATTGTCTTTGCTCATTAAGCCTATTGTTTTCTGCCGTTCTCGTTGCCGTTGCCGCTCTCGTTGCTAAAGCTCCCTAATGCCGTTGAAAGCATTTGTATGAAATGTGTCATTCAAACCATGGCTAGCTGTCGCCACATGAGCGGAATCAGGGCCGTCAACTTTGATAAACTTCTCCTTCAAAACATTTCCAGTTGGATTGTTGTTTTTTTCGTCCATTTCGTCCAACTCGCCACGAGATAGATGTTGGATAATACCCGTTCCCATGGCATCCCCCATGACGTTGACAACTGTGATGAAACGGTCCCTTTTTGAAGACCAGAAAAAAAACCATTGTAGTTGTTTTGGGGGTAAAATGGGAAAGTGGGGCAAAAAATACAGCCAGTAGTGTTTTATAACTACAGTTTAAATCTTTTTATCCATGTTTTCCTAAAGGGGGAATTTTTTTACACCGTGTTGAAACACTTTGCGATTGCCGGGGTGTCGTGAAGCCAAGACCAACGAAATCAGAACAGCCAATCAGAGGAAAGGAAAATACCCTGAGGAGCCGATGAAAACTCAAAATAAAAGCAAGCAAATTTCTGAAAGCGCGGGAAAAGAGAGTTACCCAGTCCTCATTAGTTTTGGTGTTGAACCTGTATGGTTCGGACAGTGACGCAATTTTTCTAAACAAATCACACAGTGGAGTAAAGCAAAATCAAAACTATCCCAGATCAGCTTGACACTAAATTGAAAATTGCTCTTGAAAGAGACGTTTAAGATTTGCAACGAGCTGAGAAATGGGAATTCGAGCCTAGACCAATTTCGATTTCGCGGTAAGATACTCTGCCAATTGCACTATAAAGAACGCGTTGAAGAACTCAGAATATAGAAGATGGTATGCATGTAACAAAAGTCCTGCACGCTGCTAAAAATTATAGCATCTTTAATATCGTGCTGTTCAAAACTAGAGAGAGATAGCGGAAAATTGAGGCTTGGTTGTCAAGCAAAGAAAGAACAATAACATGTCATGAAACTTGTCGGGAAACATGTCAGAAAGCACAAATCTCCTTTATAACACTCAAGGGCCTGGAACTTCTATCCAAATCGGGGCACATTCTTCAGACACTTCTAATTGTTTCGTATTTAAATTTTGAACTGAAAATATCATAGACTAGATTGGCCAGCACTGTACAAAATCAAATAAAATGAAGGTTGTACACTTACAGCAACCACTCAACCGCAAGAATTAATGAGTCCCAGGTCATGAAGAGGTAGATTCACCACCTGCAAAGCAATTATTGTTGTCATGAGCTGTGGCTGGAATCCCAGCAGCTCCCACTGCCAGTAACACGGAAATCACACTGCATCGTGAAGGAACAAAAGAAATATAAAAATGGTTTTCTGGGAAATTTTGCGCTACAAAGCCAAGAAAGTATTAAGTTTTACTAAATATCAATTTATTCCAAATCCTGAATTGCATTTACTGCCGATGTACATTAGTTCTTTGGCGACGTGATTTACAAAAACCAGTTTCTCTTCCGAGACCAACGGAACTACTTGAATCTTCACATCATGTACAGGAAATTATATTGATATACAATGCATTGCTAACTTTGCATTAAATGCCGTATGTAGATTTATATAAAGTTAGTTCCGTCTTCGAAATTTGTGACAACAATTTTCTTTCGAAAATATCACATTACAGCATACTCACCATACACATCAGTGGCTGATCCAGAGCTTGAGCTGAGGGGGAGGGGGGTAGGGCAGTTTTGAGTGCGTACATCTGTCGGCTTTCTTCCCTCTGTGATTATTTTTTTTACCCAAAATAAGAGGGGCCGCCTCCCCCCGGATCCTCCCACTAGATCCGCCACTACACATGTGACAGGAAGTTACTAAAAGGCAGGAACGAGCATACTTTGGTATTCCACATGTAGTACTCACCATATTGTGACAATTTTTCCCGGACTTAGATCTATGTCGTTTAACTGGGCCAAAAATATCAGTAAAACTGGTCTGCTGAGAGCAGAGCCGTCCCTATTGATGGTGGCGCCCAGCGGTAGCATAAATCGACTTATGCGCGGATCAATTCCGTTGTTCTGTTTAACACATCGCATAGTGGTGGGAAGTGTTGCAGCGCTGAAGAGAAATAAGGGAACCAGAATTCGTTGCGCAAGATAACATTCCAGTAAAGTACGAAAACCAAATAGAGGAATTTACATTAAGATAGTTTCTCCACAAATGAATCATGTAATGAGTTGTTAACAGCTTATTAAACATGAGCTTTGTACAACTCAATCAAAAGCGTAGCTTTTGGGGTTTTGAATGAGTTTTGGATTCACTTTCACCCTACACAAGGATGTGAGGTGAAAATGAATCCCACTTACAGTAGAGAATAGTAATGACGTTAAGAGTCAAGCAACCTGATATGAGTAAAATGCAAGTTTGGACATTACCACGAGAAGATCTTGCTGAAAATGCAAAAGCCTATTCTGCAATGTAGGATGATCCTAAATTGTAATCATGATACCTTACACTGCGATACCCTATACTAAAGCTGTCATCTTCAGGCCATCCTATGCCAGTTAAATAACGATTGACACCCTTCAGCTCCAGTTTTCCAGCGTCCTATCCCTCGCATAAGAAAATATTACAGCACATGATGTGTCTGTTGAAGTGTTGTTTAAATGAAGAGCTAGTTTTTTTTTTTTTTGCTCCAGAGGACGCCTTGTATGTAAGCAATGAAGGTAAACCTTAGTCGATAATAGGGGGGTACCTCTTACTTTCAGTTAAACGTAGCAGATCCCGTATCATCTGTATCTCTGGTTGCCTGAAATTTACCTGGAAGAAATACCAAATGCAGTCATCATTGCGTCTCTCAGGCCTTTGATAAATGCATATGAATTCTTCCTCGTAAAAGCTAAATAAATGATTGGTAGGACAAATAGGGCGTGGATGATTAAGCCGATAGTGTCTGTGACGATAGACATGCCAAGTTTCTGGATTGATCCCAAGATGTCATCCATTCTTGCCGCTCGTGCGGCAATCAAACTACAAACACCAAATGGTGAATACCTGGAACAGAAATGGAACACTCTTCTTCCTATAAAATCGGTTATTTTGTAAACCGACCCGTCCAAAGGTCTTAAAATCAGAGTATGATGTGCATGGTAAAAAAAAAATTTTCGGTCCAAAGCCCCAAAGCTGCTTTAGATCAAGGTCCTTTTCAAAAGATACATTGATGGATTACCTGAACTGTCTACCTACCAATCTTTTCCAGATTCCTTTCCCCTCTAATCGGGCGATCAGCTTTTTCTTCATTTTATATAACTATTTTGTTTGGTCATTTCAATTTTTTTTTCTGGTTATGTCTGTGGTTAACAATTTGTGACTGATCGAGTTCATCGATCTCCCTGAGGGAACGAGGTCCGGCGCTTTGCATCTATCATGTTTAATGAATCACTTCACAAGCGTTCCACCGTTTCGTTAAGTGAAAGCCAAGTGAGCGCATTACAACCTAAAGTCAATCAGAACAAAGGAAAAATAAGTCGCGCTTTGTTTTTTATGTGCACCTCATTGATGGGGAATGTGACGTGAATTCCTTAGTCCAATCAGTGGACGGAGCAAATCAAAGCTAATGAATCTAGGGTCACTTTTGACACCCAACAAAGATTATTTCGCACTGAAAACCCACAAGTACTCCAGAAGAGATCCTTTATATACAAGAAGCTTATGGACAACCTAAAACTCACCACATAATCAAAGTGACCAGCATTAACACAGCATCGTTTAACGTCGAAAACAATTCATAAAGTGGTTTCCCTTTGGGATCAAGTTTTCCTATCACAATCCCAAAGATAATGGAGAACACGGTCAGGCCAAGAAGATTCACTCCGTCGTCCGATTTCATTCCCGCTGGGACCGTATTTGAAGCAGGATAGATCTGCTTTGACACTGTTGAGATTATTTCTGAACCATTTTGAAATGTTGAAATCATTTTCTCATTTGTGGCAATGGTTAGGTTAGAGTCTGAAGATAGTGAAAGAAAAGAAAAAGGTTTTTAAGAAGCCTTCATGGACAATTATCGCTATGAGCGGGAAGACCCAGAAGAAATCCAGCTTTGGGCCTAAGTGGCTTTTTCTTATTCTGATCACATGAATTTTTGATACTCTGCCACGGATATAGGTACAGTTTGCTATCTCTTCCTTTGCACTCGCACGTTTTTCTCCTGATTAAGCACAAAGAAGAGTAGAAAACTTGATCGATCAGTTCTTCTTTATCTAGCATACGTTATGAACACGAATGTACATACCTGCTTTAAAGTGGCCCCTATTAAATTACTGGGAAAACAGTTTCTAAAAAAAAAAAAAAGATATAGAAAGATCTAGAATTTGATTTATGTTCCATCATAATCACCAGAGTAAGAAAGATACGATATGCTATACCAAAATATACTATTCGCTCTGACCAAGTGCTGACGCTCCAGACGTCAGCTTCAGATGCCTCTTCATCAACTCAGTTGGTAAAAGAAAATCAACTCGCTGCACTCCCCACCGGCCCAGCCCCACCCAGTTCCCTTTATAATTACTAGATTGTCTTTTGTTTTCCTAACAGGTAAATTTTTCTTCTAGTGATTTCTTTCTTCTTGTATTCTTTTGTTTCTTTTTTGTTTCTTTTTGTTTTTGTTTTTGTTTTTTTTGTTTTTGCTTAGCTACATAGGAATGAATGATCTCTAAAGTCAATGGATTATATCGATGAGTGAGAACACGTTTCTAGTATGTAACTTGTGGACCTGCACCTTCGGTTATTTTTTAGACTTTTTGAAAGTAAGAAACTTCTTAATACAATCAATTTACGCCGTACTGTATGTTCATTTTGGCAAAAAGGCGTCGGTGTTCTTTGGTTTTAATATTGGACTTCAACATGCGCCTCTTTGCTCCGTTTTTATAGAGTTCTAATAATGGAATATTTCCCGGCTGAAACAAGTTCGCTGGACTTTTATCTGAAAGACCCTAGAACCCTTTCATGTAAGTTGGAATACACTACCATTGACGGGCGAAATATAATCTATTTACATTCTAATGAAATAAAACTAACTTTTCAGCATTGATTCCGTGACAGACAATGCTCTGATGTATTTAGCTTCGGGTGTTTCTTTTGCCACTCAGAACTCTCTATTGTCCTTTAGAGAATCCTCCAAATAAACTACCACTCGTTAGAATACAGCTCACGTGAACACAATTTGTTTGCAGCAATATACTGCAGTGCTGGAGCAACAGAGCTGGCAAAAAAAATAATAACCTCCAAGTCTTCGCAAGGCTTTTATCAAGGTCGTTAATACATGCTTGCATTCACGATTCATTTCCTCTCTTTTACTATGTTGTGGAATAGATTTACCTTATCACGTCCAAAATAGAATCAAGGTTTCTACATTCCATTCTCTTGAAAGATGGTCCTTCCTTTTAAGGCTTATCCTCTTTGCCAGGCTTAATGGTCAGAACCAGTAACACATCCAAAAGCGCTGCTAAGACCATGGTGGACAAATAGTAAATTAGGGTTCGGCGACCAATTTTACCCGCTTTGCAGCATTCAGTCCTGCTACAGCTGTAGTTAGACTTGCTATGACGAGTGGAAGGATGATCCGTTCGCAGCATATTAAGCAACAGTTCGCCCGGAAATGACAAGAGCATGATGGTTGTGGCCTTTTTTCGGGGTCTTTGATTCCATTTACCGGAGGATTGACAGGGACTCCGATCACAAGACCAACAACTGTAGCAGTGACAAGTAACACTAAAAGCAAATTATTCCGGATTCCTGCTCCACAAGACTTTCCTTATCGGCAAAATCTTCCTCCATCAGTCATCTCCAAGGTTGCCATTTCGTGTAGGAGAGTCACTTAGCGAGAGCAAATGAAACTTCAACCTACAAAGATCTTTAATGAACTGTGCCTCTATTCAAACGCCTTTGACAATGATTAAAATGAATTATTTTGAAACCTACTATGCAGTTTCGATCAACTAAGACAGAAATGAAGTCTGCTTCAGCTTTGCATTGTCTCAGGCCTCCCTAAATTATACTCTTATTGTATTTACCTAAAGAAGCGTCTAGATTGGCTTTTAAGGTGCATAGTCTAAACAAAGCTTTCTTTGAGGATGGAGATAATTTCTCCGCCTTTTCAATGGAATTGAAACAAACCAAAAAAAAAAGAAAGGAAGAGGATACTTATTGAATTAAAATTCAAAGTAAGGCATTTTGCAAATATCCGGGGAAAAGACTTCAACTTCCGTCCAAAACTGAAAATACCTGCACAGGAATCTAGCACATTCTAATTCTATCACACTAACCCAAATCGTTTTCTTTGGTTCGAGTCATAGTGTGTTTACTTAGTGCTGTAACTTGTATCAAAATAAGCACGAGAAATTAAATCAAAGAATGAAATATGAACGATTTGTTAACCTTCAGACGTGTTTACGCATTGTAGCAAAAAAGCGTTCTGGAGCCGAGCAAATCAATGAAGCAGATCATGCAAATGGACGTAATAAGGCAACGAATTGGGATGTTCATTGTGTTAGTGAGGTTGTGCCGATATATCAAAATATAACTATTTTACAGTCTGTTACAGCCATCTGAAGGAGGTACTGGACAATATCTTGAGTTCTTAGCTGCGCTATTCAAAACGGCCCAGAACTTTGCAGAAGTCACAACATAAACTGAGAATACAAACAACTCAGCGTAAAAAAGTTGAATGTGTCATTTACAGAAATTGGCGGTTAATAAATTTCGCAGCGAAAAGAAAACTTTTCCGGGGAAAATGTTAAACGTGCGCGTCGTTCTTCAGTCTTTTTACGGCGTAGGGATATTTTAGGTCATTTTACGGGGCTCATCAAGCAGGGAAATAGAGACGGCTTCGAGTTATCCAGAATGTTAGTTTTGTGAGATAAAGATACTCCAGATGTACAATGATAGAGGAAACAGGAGCCAGAATGGGAATAGAACAGATTGGACGCAAATGTGGTCCTTAAAACTTACACGACAGAACTTTTTTAAAAAAAAGAAGAGACAAAACAATTGGCTTGAGTGATATGTTTCGTTACTTGACATCTCAGTGACGCAATCGAGATGGGTGCCCCCTTATGTTTATGTATGTCACGGTGCTAATTTTAAGCGACGTCTTGCACAATAATATTCACATAAAATGGCTTGTAAGTCACTTTTCAGTATATGCAATGAGAGACGCTGTAAGGGTTGCCTATCAAACCTGAAGCAGAACCTTCTTCTGGCCTTACTGGTGGTTGGAGCAGTCATTGGATTTTCAATCGGAGCAATAATCAATGGCCCCGTGAATCGCATCATCGACCCTGAGAAGAAGGCCACTGTCATCATGCTCATTGGATTTCCTGGAGAATTGTTCATGAACATGTTGAAGATGATTATTCTACCTCTGATCGTTGCCAGTGTGATAACAGCCGTATCAACTCTGAATCCTGAAGTGGCGGGAAGAATCGGTCGACGCGCTCTTATGTATTACTTAGGAACACTAGTGCTAGCCGCTCTTCTGGGGTTGGCTCTCGTGATGGCAATCCGTCCTGGTTTAAGCGACGAACCTGGCGAGCAAAAGGATGTAAAAGAAGTAAAGTACAGGAACTTGGATTCGCTTCTTGATATGATAAGGTAATTACAGTATTTATTGCGTACTTTGGAGCGTTTATTGGCTGACAATTCATTCTCTTGCTTTCTTTGAATCGTATCGTAAACATATTTATGCATAATCCACTTTTTTGTGATTGGTTTTATTTGCATATCATGAATCTCATAGTGGTTGAAGAGCTATTTTAAGACAGCCAACGAGTCAGGCGTGCGTGACTGACATCTCCTAAAGTAAAATTCCCTGCGGAGAGTCATGCGATTTCAAGCTCTTGTTTTGTTGCCTATGTCCTGCCGGCTATTGCGTGACAATAAAACCAACTGGAATGTAATATTTTTCCTTTAAATTAAGGGAGGGAAATCAATAATGAAAAGAAACCTCTTAGTCTTGATTATGATTGATTTCTAGGAACTGTTTCCCCAGTAACTTAGTGGAAGCAGCCATAAGCAAGGTGGGTAATGTGATTTGTTCCCCCAGAGTCTGATCGACCTAAATTTTCAAACCCTCTAAATCGTCCTCGCGTTTAGTTTCTTACATAAGCCTTATATTCCTGATAACAAACAGTATTCCCTTTGCGTTTTCGAAGATCTGGGAATACCTTGATATTACTTAAACTGTGTTCCGAAATTTGCTCATGTGCACTTCCTTTTTTCTCCACGAAAACATCCAACACGTGTGACATAACACCTAACTTACGCGTGACATAACACCTAAGAGGCCAGATAACGTGAGTATCAAGTAGTTGCCTCTGAGGAAGCGGGGGGCTGGGGTCAATATAACATTACAAAGCTTTCCGAAATCCTCCGCACCCCCTCCCCACACATATGTCACTTAGGCTATACCTTACGCCACACGTGGAGGGAATGAATTTTATTTTGATTATCGAAGTAAAATGAATTTCAGTTTCCTATTTTCTTTGTTAATAGAAAAAGACAAGGTACATTACGGTATCTGCTAAATCAAAGACTTACAATGTCACAAGTGATTCCATTCACCTCGAGACTGGCGAGGAAATTATCGGTGTCCATAGCAATGGCACCATAAATATCACCACCATAGGGAGAAAGATCTTCACGGGCTCGGACACCGTACCTGCGGGGGTAATGACCTCGGGAGGAATGAATATCATTGGTCTGATTGTGTTTTCCATCGTGCTTGGTATTGTCCTTGCGAGGTTGCGTGAGAGAGGAAGACCGCTGGTTGAATTTTTCTCGACATTGAACGAGGCTATAATGATAATTGTTCTTTTCGAAATGTGGTGAGTGACAAGAATTGAACTTAAGGGTGTGGATCACAGGGGTCCAATGGTGCAAATGTGATTCCTATTTGGCTTACATTGTCAAGGATGGAATTTTTCATGTCAAACAGTCCAGTTTGCTCAAAACTTCAATTAGAGATTTTTTGTTTTGTTTTGTATTTTGTTCTTCTCCGGGGCGTAGAAAAAATTCAAATACGCTGCGATAAGATGATAATTAGGAGCCAATAATACGATCCGCGAGAGGGGTCCTGGGAAATGCAACTCTAGAAAATGTTCCGGTTAACGCTCTGCAACAGTGCTTACTTGAGTGGTCAAGTGGCTCGCTGATCCACTTGTCTTCAGTTAAAGCGTATAGCTGTTGGTAGATTTTTGTACATACATCTCAAAGAGAATTTTTTTTTTTTTCGTTTTGTTGCATCAAAGGCTGGCTCCAATTGGTGTGTGTAGCTTGGTAGCGTCTCGTGTTGGTGGAATGAAGGATGTCTTAGGTGCAATAGAAAAGTTAGTGTTTTACATGTTGACAGTCATTTGTGGCCAGCTGATCCACTCTCTGATTGTGTTGCCACTCGTCTTCTTCATTTTCACTCGGAAGAATCCTTATGTGTTCATGAAAGGTCTGACAGAGGCCTTAATGACTGCGTTCGGCATCGCTTCCAGGTGTGTACGAAAGATCGTTTTTACTGTTTTATCAAGGAAATATAAGAATCATCACTTATTGTTTTTGCCTCCAGTTAGACACCTTTAATGGGTCTATTTTCGTTTCAAAACTGCTTTCTGCTGTCAACCCTTATAAAGAATATCTTATTGTGACTTAAAACACAAAGCACAGTGCGTTTGTAAGGGAGCTTGAAACGATTCTACTCCATCACAGGTAGTGCCTTGCTCAGCAGTCACTTAAGTCCCAGTGACAGTTTACTGGAATCCACCCACATAGACTCATGGGTAAAGTAAAACTCTGTGAAAGCAAACTCAGAGTCAACTGCCAATAATATGATCGCAGTGTCTCGGCCTTGATTCTAGCCCAGACCTCTCGATCGGGACTACAGCGCAGTAGGTTAGGGGAAGGGTAGGCGCGCAGTAGCTCAGTAACTGATATGAACTGATCCATGACTGCTTACCGATACCATATACCCATTTGTGTGGGAGATACAACAATTGTGGTATTATCCGGTGACAATTCACCAACCACCATCAGCACATGTCTTACTTGTCACTCTGTTTTGTTTTCAGTGCAGCCACACTACCAACAACTATCCGCTGTGTGGAGGAAAACAACGGCATCGATTCACGTATCAGTCGCTTCATGTTACCTCTTGGCGCGACCCTCAACATGGATGGCCTGGCTCTCTCTCGAGTGGTAGTAACCATCTTTGTTGCTCAACTAAACGAGATCTCCCTTAGCCCTGGAAGAATTGCTGTTGTCTGGTAAGAGACGATGGCACTACTTTTGCTATTTTGACCCAATTCGACCTGGAACAGTGGACAAGAATAGCCACCCAGTGGATGTCCATTGTTAAATCATTATTTATTTATTTTATTTATTTATTTATTTATCTTTCACCATTGTAAACCTTGGTGGTTACTACTTGTACGATTACTTTTTATAGCTCTACCGCCCTATTCTTCACGCCTTTCATTCTACTTTTTTTTTTTTTGCTTCTTTTCTTTTCTTTTCTACTAACTAGTAAGTTTGTAGAGAATTTGATAACTGTATTTAAGAAATTGGAATGCAGATGCAGATTTCGACACAATTTTTCCCCGATTACTGATCACTATTTGCTCAACATCATTTGAATGGTAGTTACATTAATCTTCCGTCATTACGTTTACAAAAAAATAAGTTATATTGAGGTAAAAACATCTAGAAGTTTGATAATTGCAATTTTACAATTTTCTTTTGCAGCTTAATTGCAATCGCTGCTTCTATTGGCGCCGCAGGGATACCAGGATCAGGAATCATGATCATTATTGTTCTCCAGGCCGTCAATCTTCCACTGCACGACTTTGGCATCATTATGGCTATTGAATGGATGCTGTGAGTACTGATAAAGTGTTAATGTAAACTAGTGAGATATATCGCGAGCCCACAACTACCTTGGAGTGACTACCATCTAATTTCTCCTTACAATATCACACTTGAATCACACTTAAAGGTCATGGGAATGAAGAAAATGGTCAGCGACTAAAGGCGCTCTTGATTGTTAAACAGATTCTCTTTGTCAGCACCTTAGGAAATGTATAGAGAACAGTATGGAGAATATACACACCTATGTTGGGGGTCTACCCACGAAGGACTAGTATTTCACACGCAGTAGGAGTGCGAATGCCATTAGCTGCATGACGCCACTAACACCGAGGTAACCCAGTTGACTTGGTCTCATAGCTGAAGGGCAATAGGAGGAGCTATACGCAGGAATAGCCTTTAGTGTCATGTTCCTCTTGTCTATACCAATCGTTACTTACGTCTTTCAGGGATCGCTGCATCACAACTGTCAACGTCCTTGGGGACGCTATGGGTACTGGAATCGTGGCACACCTCTCACGCGACGACTTGAAGCTAAAGAGAGAAAACGACAAGGACAGAACAGCTTCGCAGGGATTAATGATGACGGGTGAATCGTGATTTCTCTCACCTGTAGCAGTGTAGTAATATACCTCGAATTGGAGATGGCTAGTGGCGAATATTTATCGAACCGCAAAGCGACGAAGTAATTATCTATTGATAGCTACCAACACTATGTTGAATAGTTGTTTTAGTATATACAAACACAGTAAGGTAATAAGGCACAAAACAATGTTTTTAATTCACTTATTCCTTCTGCTCCGAACAGAATAGTGTAAGTATCCAATCGGAGCGCGCCTTCAACGCTATCCCACTGTTTTAGTAGATACTAAATACCTCTGGTAAAGATGTAGGTTCGGGACGCAAAGTTGAAGTCGATAGAACAAAACTGAATATAATGGAAGGTGACCGTGGGCTGGTGGCTTTACCATCTAAAAATTCCAATTTTTTTAAACTGGATATTAGCTACGCAGGCTACAACGACTCGTACACGGCTACACGACACGAATAACAACTGAAACTATCTCATAGCAGAGCTGTTTTACCTTTAATGACTTCATTGAATTCTTAACAAAGCGCTACAATATAAAAACTATAACACAACTAAACCGAAAGCCGTAACACTTGATAGGAACCCTTTCTACTCCTGTACCATTTAACACCTTTTAAGACTGGATGTACTAACCTTAAGGTAAACAAGTTCTAAGCTATATGCAACTTTCGTATGGTTATTGCAAAAAATGTAATCTAAGTATATAGGAGACATATAAATGAATATAACATAAAGACGTGCAGCTTTTCGTAGGTTGAAAATACATTCGTATCAAGGTCAGTAACTATCCCTCCCCTAGCCCTACAAAAGTCAACTGACACGAGGGGGAGGGTAGGTATGCAATTGCTCAGAAACGGAAAATGATCCGAAGAGTTTCAGTTTTCCAAAGAGAGGGAATTAAGAACCAAATAATCCATGACCACCCTTAAAAGAAAGAGACGATGTAAGGGTAAGACTGACAAATCAATGTAGGCCGTACTCCTTGGACAATCTCTACTAAGTTAGTTTGGGATCACTGCCCCTTTGGAAGATTGTGTGAAGATGCAGAAATGATCAATTTGAACGATTTCAACATTTTCTTAAGAAGTTACATTATGGATCCATAACATGATTTTCTTAGTTTTCCTTTAAAAAACCAGAAGAATGTATACACCTCACATCCATGTAGCGACTTAAAACAAGGTATCAGTTTATATCATTGACAGTGTTCACTACAGTCAGCGGCTAACTTCCTACATTAGTAAAATATTAAAGATAACGTGACGTAGCTCGACCAAGAGAATAAAGAACAAAACTGTCATCTTATAGCAACAGGAGATCATGGTAAAAAGAATTCATATTTGTTTCCTTGAGGGCGCGAGAAAACGACCGATGGAAAAAAAAAAAAACGTTAGGTCCTCCACGAGAAATCGAACACCAACCCTTAGGATTTTGCGGTAAGAAAGCTCTGCCACTGAGCTATAGAGAAAAATCGTAAGCGAGCTTACGATTTTTCCTAGGCGTTAACTAAAAGTTGTTTTATGAAAGACTTTGAAACATCAAAGGCGGTATTTACCAAAATATCCCGTTGAAGCCATACTACTTTTTATATCTATCACACGATTGATATGTTAAAACCATAGGTTCTTCTTCGTGTTACATAACCAAACATGATAAAAAGCATGCAATTACAAGTATCTACGCAATTAGTTGACTAACATCATCCGACAACAGACTAGATTACAAAGAAGAGGTGACCACGACTTGATCGGGGTCATCCAGTTTCAACCCGTTACTAAGAGGGGCGTGGTCATCCATCCTGCCATTAACATCATACTTGAGCAGATCCTCACGGGACAGATGCTCCACAACACCAGCGCCGATTGAGTCACCCAAGACATTAACCGTTGTACGGAATCGATCCCTACGGAATGAAAACAGCATAGCTCTCATCACTGTTAATTCACAATAATTTGTTTTGTGTTTTTTTTTTTTTTAATCAATTACAGAGCATTTCACTGAGTAACTTGCGAACTCTGAGCTTTTCGATTTTGTCTCACCCAGTTGTCAATCACAACTGTAATGGAACTCTAAAGGCAGAAAACCTAAAAATTTTGCATCGACACCCTCCGATCGCAACTTGCGAACAGGGCCTTTGGGAGCCTTTGAAAGCCTTTAAATATCACATGTTTCCTCAGCGATTTGATACTGGCTCTAAGTCATTCTTCATTCACAATAATCACTACGCAAATGAAAAACTTGTAAATTTGTTTTGTTATCTCGTCAAGTCCCACGTAGGTTCGCAAAAGCATTCTGGACTAGAAAAAGCCTTTATCAAAACGAAAAGACTTGTCACTCACAGGAACCAATCGACAGCCATGATGAGTCCAATGTCATCCAGCGGCAGCCCAACAGCTTGCAAAACAATGATGGTGGTAATTGAGCCTGCTGAAGGAATGCCAGCGGCACCAATTGCTATCGCTGTTGCTGTAAGACTGAATGAAAATGAGAATTTTAGCAGAAGTTATCGCTCTTAGCGGTTTTGACATGTACAGCACAGAGAGGGTGTTCAGAGAAATTATCTTACTTCCTTGGGCGAGTTGTAAAACAGACAAAATTGTAGGAGTCCGGAGATCGCTCTGTCCTGTGTTCCATATACCTCTTTTACCTCCTTCTTTAATCCTTAACACCCTAACATCAGTATCCAAATTCTCCACACCCAGGGCCCGAAATTAGCACTCGCAAACTAGCGAAATGCGAGTGGTTTTTTGAAGTTGCGAGTCTAGAAAATATCCTCTAGCAAACATTTGCGAGTACCGGTATTTCTTTCCATTGATTTAGTTCTCAAAGGGAAAATGGCCCCATTGAAAAGTAGCTAGCGCGGTTCCTCCTTTTGTTAGTAAAAAAAAAATCCCACTAGCAAAACTTTGCTAGTGGATTAAAAAGTTAAGTTTGAGCCCTGACATCGTTCTCTTTATATTTCTTTAAGTGCTGACAAGGAGAATTTGTTTAACAACCAAAAACTTCTTTAGTTGGTGACCATTTCCTTTATTCTCGTGGGCCTGTTTGATTCGAGGGTTGACGCCATAGTGAGAAATAAGATGCTAGTCACCCTTAGGAGTTAAAAGTTAAGTAAAATATATCGTTGGAAATGATTTTGTCGAATGCCACAATGTACCTCCCCCCCCCCCATCTGTCGGAAGAAAGCATTACACTGCTCACTTAAGTAATAAAAGTGACGTCCCTTACCAAATGGCGACTATTTTTCCTCCTGACAAATCATAGTCGTTCAGTTGAGCAATAAAGATGGCAGCGATAGCCTCATACAGAGCTGCGCCATCCATATTCACCGTCGCACCCAGCGGCAACACAAACTTGCTTATGCGCGGGTCCACTTTATTGTTTTCTTCAAGGCAGCGTATGGTGGTGGGCAGTGTTGCAGCGCTGAAGGAAAATAATAAACCGTGAAGGTTCATATTGGTGGGATTACCAATGGAATGTGAAAGTTAAACCGGGACTTAATTCAGCTTTACTCAATGATGGCTCTAAAAAACCGGCGCACCTTTCCAAGCAAACAATGGGAAAACAAAACCAATCCCGACACGATCAAACAATTTCACGTTTCAGGTAGATTGATGTTTTTCCTTTGAATTCTGATTGGCTTCACGAAATTTTTCCTCCGTAGTGATTGG